TAGATAATGCACACTATCACTTTATGCCAGGCTCCGTGCTAATAAGCACCGAGGACACAGAGATAAACATAACTCATGCTGTCCAAGATTCCGCAGGTACACTTTTCTATGAAAAGTACAAAAATAGGTCAGTATTTCTAACTTGGTCTCAGTCAAAGGAACACTCTCCTATGTAATAACTTGATAGCTGAGCCATTTCAATTCTCTCCTTTAGTTGGTTAAATAAACACTGCCTCAGTGAACACTTTTGCCTTAGTGCAGGGCAAGAAAGAAATAGGATGAAGTCTGACTTGACCCTTGTGCGTAACAGAATACTAACAATGAGAATTCAAATAGAGATTTTAAGTATACTCAATACTATCTGAATATGCAAATCTTACAATTTTTGACATTCTGATTAGCACAAACTTTTGAGTAAAGGACCGGACTGTATTCTTTGCCAATGATATCAGCTATGAAAAATGATGAGGTTCTTTTGCAATCACAAAATACTATATAAATACTACAAATTTAAAATAATAAAACAGATAGTCTTTTTATTTCATGCTTCAGTGAGAACACCATTACCCCAAGATGAATGTAAACTTCATATACTGCAAACATGTACTAATAAAATTAAAAATTACAAAAAAAAAAGAACACTGATAAAGGGTAAAGACAAGAAAAAGACCTTCTCTGTCAGAGGCAGCCTCAGGACAACCAAATTCCATATTTAATCCCACAGCACTCACAGAGAATAATGTAAGCCACTTTTATAGTGTTTTAAGATGCTTTTGTCTTTAAAATAACTCGTTAGAAGATTAGTATGAATATGAGAAACACAACTGTGTTTTTAACTGTTTGCTTTAAACACCAGTTATAGGAAACAATGAAGTACACATCTTACAGGGAAAGAAAAGCAATCAATACATAATAGAGAAAGTGGCTGTTATTAACTGCATAATAAGATGTTAGTTTGATTAAGCTTAGCATGTTAGGCTTTTGGTTCAATGCTTTCTGAAAACTGGGCAGAAAAAGGGAGGGGAGGGAATCAATATGTTTTCTGAGCATTGGTTTCCTTTAGATGAACTATGAAAGATAACTTTGTGCTTAGGAAAGCTATGAAAATAAACTCAGAAGGCTGTGTCTTAAAACTCTACGTGTACGTGCAAATGCGAACATGCAAACACACACAGCCCTGATTAACTATGTATCTTATGGCTTCTCTAGAATTTAGCATAAATATAAAATATCTTCAGAAAAAAATATGCTGCTTTGTACAAAGATGTTTTTGAAAATCTGGCTAGAAAAAAAATTTTGCAAAGTAAATCCTGTCAAATCCATCAGAACAGTTTATTATTTAAAGGACTACTAACTAGTATTCCCTTTCATAAACTAAAGATGGTTATTAAAAGTCATCTTTTCCCACAATACAATAACTTCACAGATATTCTAAAACCCTGGAGGTACAGCTCACCATAGCAACGTGCATGTACACAACTTTGTGCCATAATTTTTCAGCCATCACTGGCTCTGATGCTTGTCCTTGGGCTCACTCCTGGTGGCTGGAATTTGGTGCTTCCTACTGTTCCTTTGGCTTTAGAACTCAGCCCATGACTGAACTGTGGGATGGGCTTTGGGCTTTGATTATCCTCCTATACCCTAATCAGGACCCCTTTCCCTCTTTCTGCTTTTGCTAATTCTACTGGAAATGATGGGTTAAAGCAATCCTCTTTGTGTAGGCAGACTAGCTGACTTTCTATCTATCTCCCTTTCCCATTGCCTACTCTTCTCTCTACTTGATTTCTTTCTTTCATAATGTATGGTATTTCATTTCCTTTTTCAAAGTTGAAATCAGGCTTATTTTCAAGTGCTTTTCTATTTGTTAAAAGGAATGAAATCAAATGTGCAGGAAAATAGCTACTAAGGTCAAGCATAGTGGTTCTCAAAGGGGTTCTTAAACCAAGTGTCAGCATCACTTGGGACCACGATAGAAATAAAAATTCTTACACCAGGCATAGTGGCACCTGAGCCTAGCCACTAGCCTGTGATCTCAGCAACACACGTGTGATCCCAGCCACACACTTGAAATTCCAGCTATATAACTGTGATCCCAGTTACGTGAAAGGCTTTGACAGGAGGATCACAAGTTCAAGGCCAGCCTGGGCAACTGAGTGAGACCTTGTCTTTAAAATGAAAAGGGCTTGGAATATCTCAGTTAAGTGGTATAGCACTTGCTTAGCATGCCCTTGGCTCAATCATCAGTACCACAATAGAAAAAAAGGCAAAGAAATGCAAATTTCACAATCTAGACCAGCTGATCAAAAACTGTGCGTGCTCAACATTCTATTTTAATAAATCTTCCAGGTGATTTTAATGCATGCTAAATTTTAAGAACCACTAGTCTGGAAAAAGACAAGTTGTCTAACGAATGTTTTGGATAAAATGAGGCAGTAAGAGGAATTAACTCTATCACTGACACAGAATATCTATGACATTCTGCATAATGAAAAAAGGCACTCCAAAGCCAAAGGTACAATTTTGTAAAAAGTTTTAAAAATAGAATAATGTCTAGAGGGGTATACAACAAACTCTTATTAATATGGTTAACTTGAGGAAAATTCATTTTACTTTTCCTTTATAAATGTTTATATTTTTCATCTATAAGCATATATTATTTTATGATTTTAAAAAAATGGTTAACATAGGTTATCTTCCATTGGTCTCTGGCAAAACTTAGAATTAAAAATTAACTCAATCTCCAGCAGTGTCAGGAATAGTAAGTTTTGTGACGCTTTAGGGAATTCTCGAGGAAGTGAGGCAGAGATAATACTCAGCCCTCTATGACTCAATCAGTGCTTCTATGTAAAGCCAGTGCACCAGGAAATGACAGGTCATAAAGCCTGAGAGATTCTGCCTGTCTTAAATAGGCCAACTCAAAAAAGGGGATGGGATGGTGCTGAGGGAAAACAGAAAAGTCTGAAAACATAAGGGTTCTTGGGAAAGACACCAACTTATTTTGAGGAAAATTTTGTGTTATAGATTTATACATTTAAGTGTCCTGTTTTTCACCATCTTTCCTGACCTTTTTCAATTATGTTCATCTTTCTTCAAAATGACTCCAAGGACATATAGCATATGTATGTGACAGACTAAGAAGGGGCCTGAAGGTAAAAGGGTGGTGAGCATGTACCCATGCACCCAAGGTCTAATCAGGTCTGTTAGCTTATGATGCATCATGGGGGAATCCTGAGGCTTCCATGGATTCTTCTCATGTGACCACTCAATCCTTTCATTTCTGGCAAGTTTTCCAGCAGAAGCACTATATTCTTTCATAAAGGAAGCCAAAGCATTTGACCTGCATCATCTTTCCCTCTTCACTGTCCTGCTGATTACAAGCATATGGGTATGGCAGAAACAGAAAATACAGTTGTATCCCTTAGCACAGCTGTTCCCCTAGAAACCAGGATAACTTATTAAGGAAAGCTTTTAGTAATCTTTAATAAGTAAGCAGTTCATCTTCACTAAAGGAAAAACTACTGATCCCAGGGGTTCTCCTAGTCTGAGCTAGAAAACTTGGTAAAAGTTACTCTAATTGCTTTGCTGTCTTTTAAAACACACAATTCTCGGGTACTCTAAATACACCAGAATACAAGAGATAGTGCTAATGCCTCAATGTTTTCAATGTCACATAGAAGAAAATTATTTTCTAGATTAGTGGTGGTAGCCACCTTTTGAAGAGCCTATCACTATCTATGGCTCTGACTCATAGTGTTTCAGTTTAGAATATGGAGGCACAAAGTGATTGCACAGCAGAAAAGGGATGAAACCCAGTGCCTGGCTTGCTGCAGGACACAAAGTATAGACACTGAAGTCAGGGTTTGAGTACCACTTCTATATTACACTAGAGTTGGAACAAATGATCCTGCCTTTCCAAGCCTCCACGTCCTTATCTATAGAATAGCAATAAAATGCTACTTTACAGGGTTAATACTGTAATCAAAAGCATGTAAAAGGAGGAGGAATGAAGAATTAAGTGTTTATGGGTATAAAGTTTCACTTCAGGATAATGAAAAAGTACCGGAGATAGATGGTGGCGATGCTTACATAACAATATAAAGGTATTTAACACCACCTAACTGTACATTTAAAAATGGCTAAAATTTTGTTTTGTATATTTTATCACAATTATGTAAGGCCCCTCCCACAATGCCTGTCTCTCAATAGGTGCTCAAGAAATGCCATCCCATTCCCTTTATAAAGAATTTAGGGGGGGAAAAGGAACACACAAAGTAAAATAAAATTATGTTCTACTTCCCTATTTAATTGTGAAAGGCTGAGAGTCTCAGACAGGGCCAGCTGGTCCCAATAACAGGTAGTACCACAATAAACGTCTCCACAGGAAGGAGGCGGGAGTGTCTGCTAGTCTCTGTTAGTCATAATCCCTCGGGCATATTCAGTTCTCAGTCCACCCCCACCCCAGTACGGGACCTCCCAGAATATCAATGCCCCCAGGCCTCAGCATATTGTAAAAAAAAAAGCTGCAACACTTAAACCATTTCCCAGCCCAAACTCCAGGTCATAAGGACAAGAGCGTGCATGGTGACAGCTGACTCCTGTAAGTGAGGGGAGAGACAAGACATTAGCACTGAAAACCAACTGGATGGGTCTGGATCCTATTCCAGTACTCACTATTATGCTAATCAGCATCTCAGATGCCTTTGGCTGGATTTAATGGACAGAAAGGACACAAGTCTCAAAAGCCTGATAAAGTTTAAAAATGTACTTCTCTGCAGTTCAGGGAAAACAATTAATGATTATATGCTATCAGTCATAAAATAGAAAAGGGAAAAATAGAAAACTTATCTTCAGGCACATTAGAACACTTTTTGATGGGCAGTCTTTATTAGATCTTAATGTAATATTCAGAGAGATGATCATTAACATCCCTCAAACTTAATGCTTGGAGAACAAAATGCTTGGGGTAACCAATGCCCAACTAATACCAAAACAATACTTACTTTAGGGTCTGAGCTCTTGAACTTTAACCTTTCCACCAGCTCTATCATAGCCGCCTTCAGTCCTCCTGAGTCTTTGCTCTAGAAAAAAGAAGTCAAAGGTCACTAGAAAGCATTTTGATGTCCTCTCAGACACAAAGCATTTCAGAGGACAATGAAATGGAAAGCAATTTTTTTCTTCTCATCAGCCAAGAGAAATGAAAGACTAAGTAGTGCTGCATTGCCCCTCTTCCCCTTCTCTACAGATAAAGAGAGTCTGGACAGAAATTGTTCAGTGACCCCAACAGAGAACTACTGGGATGAAAATTAAATGCAATTTGTATAGGCTGACTCACTTCTTCATCTCATACTCAAGAGTGCAAATGTTCACAGTGGCAGAGGCCCTGCAAGAGATTTCTATCTTATGCCCTACTGATTTTTACTTTGAACTTTAATGTGCTAGATACAGAAATATGTAACATCAGACATTCTTATTAAAAAATAGCCTGAGAGTTAACTGAAAATGGAATTATAGTGTAGTGATGAAGAGTAGAAGGCTTTTCAGTCAGATATATTAGATTTCAAATTTGAAATCTATCATTAACTAGTTGACTAACCTAGAGCAAAATACTGAACTTCCCAAAACCTTTTGCCTCCTCTATAAAATGGGGATGATAACCAAGGCTATTATGGGCTTAATAATGTTTGTAGAAGTACTAGCAAAGTTTGTGACACAGAGGAAGTGCTCTAAAATGTCACCTGTTTATGTTATTATTACTGTAGTGTACTGGCTTAATTAGTACAGTAATACAAAGTACTATGAGTGGCCCTGGACTTCCAGGAAAATGGCAGAATGGTAAGCAACAACTACTCAGCCTCTCTGAGACTCGAAATCCAGACACTGGAAAATAATAATTTAGAGAAGGAAAATAAGAGAAGTAGATCCCAGGGAACCAGGGATCTGACAGTAAAATTAAAACCTGAAGAGAAATTGAAAAGATGAAATAACAGGGAGAAGGCAAGGGACAATCTGCACTTTCTCCCTGGATTGCAGCTCACGGCTCACAGGAAAGGGAGACCAACCAGAACTACAGAAAGAAAGCAAAAGCTCAGGACTCCAGAGGGCTTTATGACATCTTTATTACATTAACAATACTTCCCAGACAGCTTATTTGTTGGGCTAATTACACTGCATCATCCCCTCCCAAGTTAACCAAAGTGGTCAGATCTTAGGACTGAGGCAAAGGACTACTGTTGGCCATGCTGAAAAGGAAATCACTATACGAGCAAGAGAATTTACACTCTAAGCATCCACAAATCTCATCACAAAACCAAATAAAAGAAGCTTGAGAAAACAAGGCAGCAAAACGTCTCCCAAAACTCCTAACTCCCCCAAAGCCAATCCAGGGGGCACAGAGGAGCAGAATAGCACAAGCCATACACCCACATTATTTGAAAGGATAACAAGGGAGGTTAGAAAACAATCAAGAGTTACTAAACAGGATCACAACAGATATAACCGAACAGATAATGGAAGTAATAAAATGTCCAAGAGCTTTCACAAGACACTAATAAAAACTAGATAACTAAAATGATTTAAAACATGAAAGGCCAGTTTAGCAAAAAATTACAGTCCATGAAAAGGTTTCAATCAGAAATCCAGGAGATTAAAAATTATACTGAAAAGTATGGGCAGCAAAAGCAGACAGAATTAAGGAACCAGAAGACTTCAAAGACCAACTACACAACTACACTGTAGACAAAGACACCTTAAAAACAACAAGAGAACAGGCAAAATGGATACAAACTCTGCTAAAAGGCACAAAGATAAAGAGTAATGGGAGTAAATGGAAAATCAGAAGACAACACAAACAGCCTAAAAAAAAAAAGCCCCATTCATAGACATAATGGCAGAAATTTTCCAAAAATGGGAAAGAAAAAATATATAGACAAGTGAGGTATATAAGAACCCCAAATAAACACAACTAAAAGAGAATCTCTCCATGCCACATTATACTCAATTTACCAGAAATCCATCACGTGGACAAAAATCTCAAAAGCTGTTAAGAAAAAGGCAGTGAATGACATTTAAAGGTAAACCAATTAGAAAATTAGCAGACTTCATTACACAAAGCTTAAAGGCCAGCAGGGCTTGGAGTAGTGTTTCAACCTCTAAGAGATAACAACTTCCAACCCCAACTTATGTATTGTGGAAAACTGTCCTTCAAAAACTGATGGAGAAATAAGTTATTCCCATGACAAGGAGCACCTCAAGAAATTAAGGACCACCACAGCAGCATTACAAAGCAGCTTATCCTAGAAAGAAACAATGAAGCCAACAAGGCCAGTAAGTAAAAAAAAATGAATATACCTGGAAGGATGATCAGTTAAACAAAAGAGGGGAAAAAAAAAAGAACAAGATCAGGAAAACTCTCAATGTGAATGGTTGTAATTTCCCAATCAAAAGACACAGATTGGCAGAATGGATCAAGAAACAAAACCCAAAGATATACAGTATCACAATGATATGCAAGAAATATATTTCATTCAAAAAGAAAATTACAGATTAAAAATCAAAGGATGGAAAACAATATCTTATGAAACACATATCCAGAAGATCATTAGCAACTACTTTGAGAACCTGTACTGCAATAAAGTGGAAAATTCAAAAAGAAATGGATAGATTCCTATATACATATAAACTACCAAAGCTGAATCAAGATATAAAAATTGTGACTAACCCAATATTACTCAATGATATTAAACATTAAAAAAAAAAAAAAAACTAAGAAAAGCCCAGGTCCTGACAGATGTATGGTTGATTTCTATAGAAACTTTAGAATAGATCTAAGAGCAATATTCCTCAAAATCACATGATCTTCTCAACAGATCAGAAAAAGCATTTGACAAAATCCAACACCCATTCATGATAAAATATGTATAGAAAATTGATATGTGATAAAAAGCCTCTCAAGACAAACCAACAATATCATATTAAATGCAGAGGAGCTGAAAGCTTTCCCTCTAAAATCAGAAACCAGACAAGGATATCCACTAGCACCACTATTATTCAATACAGTCCTCAAACATTAGCCAGAGCAATTAGGTAAGAGAAAGAAATAAAGGGGATATAGCTAGGAAAGAAGTGATCTTATCATTATTTGCAGATGACATGATAATCAAAAGGACCCCAAAAACTCCAACAAAAGACTCCTAGAATTAATAATCAAATTTAGTAGCATGGCAGGATATAAAGTCAACACTCAAAAGTCAATTAGCATTTTTGTACACCAATAACAAACTCACCAAGAGAGAAACTGGGGAAACAATATGTTTCACAATAGCATTAAGTAAAATGAAATACTTAGGAATTAACTTAGAAATGCTTACAAGCAGCCAGGTGTAGTGGTGCATGCCGGTAAGCCCACCACTTGGGAGGCTGAGTCAAGAGGATCTCCACAAGTCTGAGGACAGCCTGTGCTATACAGCAAGCTGGAGGCCACCGTGGACTATGTGGCAAGACCCCAACTCAAAAGAGAGAGAGAGAGAGAGAGAGAAAGACAGAGAGAGAAAGGGAGGGAGAGAAAGGGATGGAGGAAGGGAAGGAGGGAGGGAGAGAGAGGGGGAGAAGGAGGAAAGTAAAAAATCTCTACAATGGAAATTACAGTAGTCTGAAAAAAGAGATGAAAGAAGACATCAGAAAATGAAAAGATATCCCCTGTTCCTAAATGGGCAGAACCAATATAGTCAAAATGGCCATACTTCCAAAAGCTGTTACACAGATTTAACATAATCCCAATCAAAATACCAACATTACTTTCTCTGGTTTTCCTCACAAAACCAGAGAAAGTAATCCTAAAATTCATAAGGAACCAAAAGAGACCTAGAAAAGGAAAAGCAATTCTGAGCAACAAAGGCAAAGCAGAAGCCATCACAATCTCAGCCTTCAAATTATACTACAGAGCTACAATAATAAAACCAGCATGGTATTTGGGGGGGAAAAAAACCAGACTTTTGGATCAATGAAACAGAATAGAGGATGCAGAAACTACTCCAGGGAATACTCAGCTACCTTATCTTTGACAAAAGGGCCAAATATTTTCACTGGAGGGAAAACAGCTTCTTTAACAAATGTTACTGGGAAAACTGGTTATCAAGATACCAAAGATTGAATCTAGACCCATATCTCTTACCATGCACTAAACTAAAATCAAATGGATCAAGTATCTAAATATTAAAATGTAAATGCTTAATCTGCCAAAAGACAAAATAGGTAGAATTTTTTAAGACATAGGCATAGGCAAAGACTTTCCGTACAGAACCCAAGTGGCACAAGAAATAATACCAAGTGTCTTAGCTACTTCCTCACTGCCCGGACAAAATATCCAACATCTACAAGTTAAATGAAGAGAGGTTTATTTTAGCTCACAATCTGTACAGGTTTCAGTCTATAGTTAGTTGGCTCCATGTCTGGCATGGTAAAGGTGCATGGCAGAGGAGAAAGTCTACAGCAAGGCAGGCTGAAAAAAGCAGCCTTCTTTTTCCTTTATATTCCATCCAGGCTACAAGCCTATTGGGTTTTTGGTTTTTGGTTTTTGTAGTTTTTGGTTGCTGTTGGTTTTTTGTTTTTTTGATTTTTTTTTTTTTTTTTGAGACATGGTCTTGCTACGTAGTCCAGACTGGACTTGAACTCACTATGTAGCCAAGGGTGACTTTGAACTATTGGCAATCCTCTTACTTCAGCCTCTAGAGTGCTGGGATTACACATGTGCACCACCATGAGCCCCACCCGCCCACCCCTGCTTGCTACAAACCTATTGGTTGGTGCCATTCACACCAGTAAATCCATTCAGCCACACCTAGAACTATTCTAAACTAGTCAGTGGGCTAATCCAGTTATCACACACCCTAATCCAGGCACCTCCTGAAAGTCCCACCCATGAGCACACGAGGTTCTCCGGGGGGAGGGGGGGCATATTTAGATATGACATAACAACAACAATCAACAAATGGGATCACATTAAATTAAACAGCTATGTACAGCAAAGGATATCACCAATAGAGTGAAGAGACAATCTACAAAATGGGAACAAATTTTTGTC